TCGCATGCGCAGACACCCAAGCAACTCGAAGTGTATGGGTAGTATCTGGGAGGATGTGCTGCACATTACATCTGGCGTGCAGAAAGTGATTGCGGGGCAGTTCGCCCACGCGATGGTTTCCAAATCATGAACGAAGTTATCCCTTCAACCAAGGGATTGTAATTTGATTTTACTCTACGTAAATAACAGGGTATTTGAACCGACGCTGGGGCTTTAGATAAGAACACTGAAGACTCCGAATAATTCGACGATAGTGACTCGAAGGATGCTATGATATTAATATTTAGTCGCTCGGATATAGCTCATGCAAAGAAAAAGACGCCAAATGACAAACCGAGCAGTTACAACCCCTGAAAAGCACTCTCAACAACAGCCCTCTGCTGTAATCCATACACCTTCCCGGTTCCTGGCGCAGGCACAGCGTCCTCCCTCCTCCCCCTGTACGTCACGCCACCCTCCATTCCCAGCCCCTTCAATACCTCCTCGACACGCTCCCGCACATGCCCCCAAGCGCCCTGATTCCTAGGTTCCTCCTGGACCCACAGCACCTCCAATCGCCCGTTAGCGTTGGCATAAGGCGCGAGTGCTTCACTGAGCGCGGCAAACGGGAACGGTGCGAGTTCTTCGATGCGCACGAGGGCGACGCGTGATTCGAGGTTGCGTGCAGCGCGCTCTTTGGCGAGGTCGTAGTAGATCTTGCCGCTGAGCAGCACGACGCGCTGGACGGCTTTGGGGTCTGTGAGGGTCGCCTGGGTCATGAGAACGGGCTGAAATACGGTTCCTGGGCCCATGTCCTGTCAGCTTCGAAGATGCAGCCTACGTGTTTCAGTGTGAGTAAATGTGGGTGTGCAGAAAGGGCTTGAGACGGCACGTACAGCAAGTCTAAGCAGTCCCTTGGGAGCAGCTACAATAAGCGGTTTCCTGTAGTTCCGTTTGATCTGGCGGCGTAAAAGATGGAAGTACTGTGCAGACGTGGTCGGGAACACCACGTGCATGTTTACGTTTGGAATTTTCTTGGGCGGTGTAGGAGTCATTGGTGAGCTAAAGAAGTGTTAACAGACGGCCATTAAGAGATCAATAAATGGACTTGCCTGCAGCATCCGCTCTATACGGCAACTGGAATGCTCAGGGCCAGCACCATCAAGACCAGTGAGGGAGGAGCAGGACAATGCCGCTCTGCTTCAGCCATTTAGCTAAGGAAGGATAAGTCAGTAAAAGGAAACATGCAGGCAAACAGACATACTTTCTGAACTCGCAATGAATGTGTCAATGATAACTTGTGCGCCATTAAAGAAATCGCCAAACTGAAGCATAGATAAAGCTCTTTAGCTCGAGCTCTAGTAGTCAGAACGAAATAACAACGTGCCTGTGCCTCCCAGATGGGCAACAGATCAGGTCGTTCCCAAGATGCTCCATATTCGAACTACAGTACTGTTAGATTGAGGCAAGAAAAAGAAAAAGACCTACGCCAAGCACAGCCATCTCGCTGAGAGAGCCTTCCAAAAAATCAGACGATATCCCTGATGAGAAAAATCAATACCCACTATTCGCCAGCTCCAGCTTGCCATTCGCCTCCGCAAGCGCCTGGTTCAGCGGAACAATCACGCCCTCCGTCTTCTGGTCCACCAACATCGCGTGGCTGGGGATGTACTCAGGCTCTCTTATACACGATTCAAGAGAGACCGCACCGATGACTAAACGTCCCTCTCCCTACATCCTGTCCCGCAATGCGCACATCACACCCCTCAAGCATCAGCGAGCCGAACGCCATCGCCTCCGCACTTGCCCAGTCAATCATGTCACCATTCTCGATGCTCCCAAGACGGTTCTTCACATGCCTGTTCAATCGCGGATGGATTTCCTATGTTGGGCACGGCGTCGTTATATGTATTCACGTAGGGAATATATAACACTTACAAATCCTTCAGGAATACGTACACTGGCCATTCCAACGTCCCTGAGCACTGTGCTACTCACGCCCGTCTCTTCTTGACGCGCGTCGGGAGACGCCGGCCAAACCATGCCTTTCCACGCGCCCTCAAAGCTCACAGGAGGGGGGACATACGACGCTACATCCGTCAGTGCAGCATTCAGTGAGGCTTTGTAACTGTCTCGGACAGCTCGTGCTACTTCAAGGGAGATCACACCGTCCGACTGGAGCGAAAAACGGTCAACACTCCCTTCGATAAGCACAAAATAAATCAGACGTACGATAAGTTTATCCTCATACAACCTCGGTACAGACTTCCTTGAACGAATCTTCTCGTACATGAGAGGTTGCGTGAATGCTGGTTCGTCGAGCTCGTTGTGTCCCCAGCGGCGATAGACGATGAGGTCGATAACGATGTCCTTGCGGAAGTGGTTACGGTACTTGAAGGCAATGTCGACAGCACGAACTACATCTGTGTGTGCGCTCAGATGGAAGCTATGAGTAATGATCCAGGTGGAGACGAACCTTCGGGGTAGTCTCCGTTGACGTGCAGAACTGGACAGTTTATCATCTTAGCGACGTCACTGCAGTAGAGGGAAGAGCGGGCAGATGAGGCTGGAGTGGTATATCCGATACTACAAAGACAATGAGTCTCAATTCGGGGAAGTGTGTATTAATTAACTTGTTACTGTGATGCGGAGATTAGAAGAGTAAGACAGAAGAGTCCAAAGACATACTTGACGACAATGTGGACACTTCCGCCGCTCGTGAAGTGTGGAAGACCGCCTGCAAATATCACGTTGAACTTTTACAACTGGCAATGTCTGTATTTTGGTACGAACTCAAACCAAGAGTTTCCATTACTACCCCTTGTCCTGTGAAGCTTGCATCGCCGTGCAGCTGGACGCACATAACCTATAGCACCATGTGAACACTTCAATCCTATACAAGGCACCCAGTAGCAATACCTTATCGCCAAGCATGCATTCTTGGTTATTACCATGAGATGGGGTTCTAAGCAAGCTATACTGCTTCGCTCTGGCTTTGCCAAGTGCAACGGGACTCACGGCCTCCAAATGGGATGGATTGGGCAGCAACGAGACCTTAATGCCATCAATTTCACCGTACTGTAACGTCGGAGACGCAACTTGGATCAAAGTCAGGACATTCAGACATGGTGAATACAGGATGCGCACCAAGATGACTGAGGACGTCCCCGGAAACCCCCAAGGATTCATCGACTTCACACCCGCCCTTGATTTTGTGAAACAGGGCAATAGGATTATATTCTAGGAGACCCGTAAGCAGGTTAAGGCGTCCCCTGTGAGGCATAGCAAGGATGAGTTGAGTTATGCCAGCTACGCGCGCGTTAGCGATGATCCCCGCGATCGAAATGAAAGACACCTTTGGACGCAGCCTCGAATAGCGCATCTAATGCGGGTAGCATGGACTCCCCGCCCTCGAGTCCATATCTCTTCAAATTCGGAAACTTGACTTGTAAGAAGTTGTCCAACACCTCAGACTTGGCGAGAAGAGCGTGTATGTTCTTTCGTCTATCTGCATCGATGACAGTCACGGGCTCCAAGGCACTCTGAGACTCCAATAGCTTCGCAAACCACAGCCTCTCTGTCTTGCTTGGGAGGTCCATGTATTCATACGCAATGCGGCCGACGTAGACAGAGTTGAGGAAGGAGGTGATGTTGTCGAGGGTCCATTTCTGTTTGTCCTCACCGGTCCAGAGGATGCCGTCTACATCAAACGCACGGTTGGGGTCGTCAAAGCCGTACCGCACAGGGTCAAGTGCGGCGACGCGCTCGCGACGGAGGAGGTCAAGAGGGTCGATAGACGCGGCTCTGTGTCCATGTATGCGCAAAGCGTCAGCATATCGAAGCAAGGGAGCATTAGTTGCGCGGTTGGCAAGCTGCTCAGAAGTATCTAAGATTGAAATTAGTCTGTGCAGTTCTCTACTGGCAGTACACGCACAGTCTGGGATGGTAAACTCGCGTGCTTTGCGGAAGCCGAATGACTCGTCATGATACTTCCTGCGCACTATGAGCACGCGGCCGCTGGAGCGTTTCATGACGTGGGCAAGAGCATGGACGTGACCTGCGGAGATGGAGTTCATGAGTTCTTTGCCGTTAATGACCTAGACAACGACAGTGAATGCGGGGAAGAGACCGATAAGCTCGCAGATTCTTCTCAGCTTCGGATGGAACATGGTAAATATATGTATGTTCCGGACTCCGGAGTCTTGCGGATGTGGCTCACGAGACCAATTGCAACACCTACATGACTAGTACTTGGTCTCCATTTTAAAAATTTGAATCCTTAAACTTCTTAACCAGTTGCAGTTGGGATACAGAAGCTCCTTCAGGTGGGTCTCTGGCAGAAGAGGCTGGCTGGAATGTTGAAACCAAGTGAAAAGTGGTCAGGTAGGCATTGCCAATAAGATCAATTGCTCCCAACACCTTCGAATACACCTGCAGAGAGATTGCCAACCGCAAGCACTGTATGTGTATCGCCCTCCGAGTCGCCTACACCAGTACTAGTTCAACTTGTCAATGCATAGCTCTTTTCCTGCTGCAGGGAGTACACCGACGTCTTTGCCATCATTTATATCCGCTCTACTACGTCGTCATCAATTTTAACATACCTTCAACTTGCCCACCCCCTCTGGCTCGTGGTCTGGTGAAATTTGGTGGTGTCTGTGCAACCCAATACTAGCGCACTATCCAATGCAGTTCAGACCAAACCCGGACTCAAGTCTGCCATCGGTAACGGGCGAGAAACTGGTGGCCGCAGAAAAGAGCTTGGTGTGGGATGCTCGCCAAAACTCGAACGCAGTCCTGTCAAAGTATAAGCTGACAGCTTGAGATGTAACATAGTGTCGCAAAAGTATGATAGCGGATGCACAGAAGAAACCAGCGACGCTCGCTTAGATCGATCATCGCAGCAGTCGCGGCATTTGCCGCAGCAGCCATCCGACCTGCATGTAGAAAAACTATAAGTATTACATAATTTGTGCTGTTGATGTTATGTACGGCTTCCAGTCGCAATGCCGAGTATAAGTAGCCTCAAGGCCTCATGACCTAGTGGACCAAGTTGAAAAGAACATGAAGCCCAAAGTCGAATTCCCGTCTCTTGCTGAATTTCTGAAGAACTCAAGTCTTACATTCCCAGCCTCCTTCCTTGGCGAGATATTACTCGTTGCACATCGGTGAGCCACCAATTTTCCAACTATCAATGTCGATTGTACCTACCAGCAGTGGAATGTGAACTGTTATACTGACAACTCTTGCAGGTGTGCAACGCTCTTCACCAGACATGTGTCATCCTTGGAGCTTCAGTACATCGTAGAACTTGGTGACCAGCAACTGCTCCATGTCCCTGTCGCGAAACCCCGCAACCACATTTCTACTTCCGAGCGTCTACAGCTTCTGAGGGACAGCCCACGCATGGTTCAAGTTCGACCTCCACTTTTTCCAAACAGTCTCTGTACCAGAACGATTTGATGAAGTACAAATGAACGTCGCTGATGGGCATCTCTATCTGGACCGAAGACGGAGACTACGACGGAGACTGGGGCCACTGCCACTTAGCCAAGATCTTTCCAATATCGCCAAGGCTCTCACAGCAAACAACCGATCGTCACTAGTCTACAGGATCCCTGTATTCAGTTCCGGAGTCCGAGTACTGTTACTGATTTTTATCCAGCTGTTGCTCCAAAGAATGAACCGGATTGAAGTCATCGAGATGTAGAGCGGCTAGTCTTAACAAGTTGAAGAATGTCGACCTCTACTGATCGTGGTACAGGCGGAATGAGCACGGTAATACTGTGCATATTCTTACAACATTTGTACAACGCCACTAGCTATTCAAATTTATGGATCGCAGCTATATGGGATGCTTCTCCTCTCTCGTGTCTATGGTGTACTCTGTTCTGGAATCGCACGCGGGTTGTCGTCGTCACATCTTACCATCTTCTCAGGATGTTGCTTTTGGTCGTGGAGAGTGCTCAGTGAACAACTCGACTACCTCGCCAACCGCGAGCTCGTTTAACGGATCAAGCCACCACAGCTTCTGCTAACCGGCAGCGTCTCGTTTAATTGGCTCTCATTACTAACGGTCAAGGAACATTCCAGCTCCGTGGAATTGATTTTGCTATGGCTTTAGTAAACCCAGCATTATGGTATCAGTTCTAAACCATAGCATGTATGAAGGGTATTACTGCCACTCCGAGTCATCCCCTTGAAAAAACACCCATATTAAGGAGTGTAGGTGGTGAACGTATGTTCGCTTTCACAAAAACATATCAGCCAAAAGGGATAACTAGATACAACAAGAAAAACTCACGTATAAGCAAATCCAACTTGTTGACTATCCGTGTCGAACACCTGCAAGTCAATCAGTACCTCGTACATAGCCACATGGCGATCCGACAACTCACAGCATAGTACTTCTCCATGAACTTCTGCCCGATGATAAAGTCTAGCCCCTCGCCGCTGTTAGTCCCCAAGTACGAGACAATGCCGTACTGCTTGTTTGCTGACAAGCCCCACGCGGTGTTCTGGTCCGTCGGGATGAGTTGCGCTGCAGCGTCCAAACTGAAGACGGTGCCGCCGACCGTAAAGTTCAATGGTTGGATCTTCGAGACGGAGCTTTCAGGAATGGTCATGAGGCCGGTGGTCTGGTCGAGCTTGGCACCAGGGATGGCGCGCATGTAGGACTCGAAGAAGTTGTCAGCGAGGAGAACCACTATAAATGTGTCAGAAAGTGGGCATGTTAATGGGCAAATCAAGTCCTACGGGTGGTGCCAGTATCAACGATTCCGGCGGTTGAAGTTGGGATAACAGTCGTCTTGTCGTTGGCGGCACCATACGTTGCATCGGTGACGTTGATACCCCAGTAGTAACCAGCAGGGTAAGTTGCAGTGACTGGCGTGTAAGTAATTTCGCCGGTGTACTGAACAAAATTCAGTACGAAAGTTGGGGACATGCTGCTGAGGCTTACCAAAGACGAATCGATGCCACCATAAGTGAGGGCACCATCTGCGCGCAAATCAGATCACATTCGACTATCTCGCAAAGCGTCTCTTACTAGTGTCGTTGTAACTTGTTGCGGGTGCGAAAGAGACGCCTAATATTTCCTGTGTGATCAAACCCTGCGAGAGAGCATTGTTCATAACGGTGGGGATTAGCTCGTTGGTGCTGGGCGAGAGTGTGCCCTCAGTCAGAATGACGGGGCCCACACCGACGATGCCATCGACGCCCTCAAAGTCGGCATAGGAAAGAGCATCACCGATGGACTGGTTCGTGATGACAAAACCTGGAGCAAGTGTCACCTGGTCGAGATCTGCCGGTTGGATTTTAACAATGTTATCATTTTTAAGCGGCCAAAAGACCTACACTCCAAGCCGGAAAAGTAGCCCGAGCCGTAAGTGACGTTGACGTCCTCACCAGTGAAGATACTGGTTGAGGTTTGGACATACGTTGTTCCAGTTCTTCAAAATACAATGAGATGCAGTCTAAGGGAATAACCAATCGGGTCCTACCCAACAAAAGTATTGGAGCTACCGGTGTCGACGACCAAGTTGTAGTACGTCGGAGGGCTACCAACGCCCACACTGGTGGTGTACTGGACATATGCAAGGTTAGATGCAGGGACCGTCGTAGGACCGCCAGAAGCAAAGCTCTTTAGGAATGCAGCACGGGAACGATCAGCATCAGGCAGTCCCGCGAGAGAAGAGCTGGAAGGCGCAAGTTTCGTCAGGGGCATACTAAAGAAGCTTGAAGCCGATACAGAGGCCACGGTAGCGAGGAGAACTGCGCAAAGAAGGGCGGAGAACGACTGCATGTTGAGCAGACGAGCAGGGACCTGGTGCTAATTCATCATGAATGACCCAATGAGATTTATATGGGCAGGGACCGGGGTTGAGGCAGCCGATAACCACCCAGTACTAACAGCACCTGCCTGAAGGAACGCATGGAAGTAGAAAGCTGCCATGCGTGTCGATTTAAATAAACTGGAAGACATACATAGAACCAATAATAACATGGGACATTTTCCATAATTTTCCGGGTCGGCGCTGAAGCGCTAGCATTTGAACAGGGCCAAATGCGAGCAAGCACGCTATCAGAGACTCGTGAGCATTGCGAGGTTGCTCACCTCTATAGTCAAGCCTGTGATATTCCCACCGATCCAAAGTAAGTACATTCGTATCTTGAGCAAGAAATGGGAGCCATATGTATTATGTTCCACTCATATGGCTCGAAGTTCGTAGCGTGTGCATAAGAATAGACAGAGACCAATTAGGACCTACCTGAGCCACGGAGAGAAGGTGTCAGATATATGTATCTCGCAACCGAGCCGTCCTAGGCCTAGACATTTTTGGGTTGCTGTCCTCCCGTGCAGCTGGTGAAGCGGCCGGTGAAGAGTCAAGACTACAACCCTGACTGTCACTGGGCGGTCATTAGACGGCGCCCGATGGAATGAGCGTGTTGATTCTGAATCAACCCACCAAATGGCCAAATAGAACATAATAGTACTGAATCCTGATAACCGGTTCAGTCCCAAGTTGTCTTGCACTGCTGGCCGCTGCACAGGCATGGAGGACGAGTACTTTGTCTAGGATAAATGCATAATCTACTCACATCAAGATGCTCACAGCGGGTGGGAGCAGTGGCACCGTTAATCCCTCATTGCTTGCGTCTAGTCGCTGTCTCCCACAAAGCCTATGGAAATGGGACAACCGAGAGCTGGTGAGTCGCACTCTACCTCGCGCTCGACAGTACATGAAGTCATTCCATTTGAAAGCAACTTCAAAGACCCATGACCTCCAATGACTGGTCTATTTTTTTTTTTTGCAAATATAACCACCGTATCCGTTCCCTCGATACGCCACCGATAGTTCTGGTCCGTACCGAAATTTGGCGTACCCTCAGCTGTCCTCCCTTCTCCCTCTCCTTGCTTCCTAACTTAACGTCTCTTACATGGTGTGGGACTACCAACGAGATGTTCCAATATATCCGGTTGTTTGCAACCCCCAAATTGGTAACGCTCGATATCAACCCACAGTCTCTCGCATTTGGTCCATCCGAACAGTCCATCTTGTCATATATCCCAATGTAGTGCCCTATGGTCTCGAATTTCATATCTTCTGCAAAATCAGGAGACACGTCGACCGCTTTGCAATGCTGGTCTCATCTGAAATCAGTGAGCACCGAAAAGGTTCCGAGGCTGCCATACTACACCTGTCCAATTTGCCTTCACTCGGAATTCTACGCCTCAAATTACCTTCTACATCCATATCCATGGATACCCAAAGCTCCTACAGCATCGTGTGTTCTGCGTATTGCAGATGCTGCATATAGAGTGTGAAATTCTGGTGCTCTTAGATGCCTTCTTTGAGACACTCTCGATCGCTCCAGAAGTGCTATCATTGTCCATCACTCGCGGACTAGATACCACACTGGCCCTGCTAGCTTCAATTTCCTGTCTATCCAGTGTTTGTACCAACAGCACTTTGGAGCGGGTTCTGAAACTTCTGATCAACATATTCGATCAATCTGATGATCACAATACTTCGATTAGTGCTGCAGTTTTTCATCCACTCTTTGCTTTCCGCAATATTCGCAAGCTCGAAGTCATTATCGTGAACTGTGGTGTTCAATTTGATGATGCCACCCTTTTTCAGATGGCTAAGGCCTGGCCGCTACTGGAGGAGTTCTTCATCTTTAAAGAATGCCGCCGTTCGAGAGATCGTATTACCGCAAATGCCCCCGTCTCACTATTGCAACATTGCCATAAACTGGTCTGCTGGAGGCGGACACAACACATCCCCTAACATTCCCTACCAGGGTTTTGCATACAAACCACTATATGTGGCGCACTTCGGTAGTTCAAGGATTCGCCACCCGACAAGGATCGCTGCTTTCATTTCGGCCGTCGCACCTAATTTGGTGGAACATGTTGCATGGGAGCATACTTTCTACAAGATCGATCCAGGCCTTGAGAAATACTCCAGCAGGTGGAAACTCGTTCAGCGTTTGATCAAGTCTTTCTCCACGTTCCGCGAGCAGGAGAGGAGAACTTTGATGCCGAAGGCAGGTGAAGGGGCCGAACGTAGTAATGGAAATGAAGAGTTTGGTCCATCTGCCAACCACTACGGAGTTGTGCAGCCAGCCCAGGAGACCGAAAATGGGGAAGCAGCTGCTAGTAGTGACACCGACGGGGATGAAGGGGGTTCCTCGGAGGACGAAGGGGATTCATCGGATGAAGATAGCGGAAGTGAGGGCGAGTAGTCTAACTGGGGCGCATGAGACTCGTTGCAAGAAGAATAATTCGAGACGCAGACAATAAAGTACTGAATTTTCTTTGCGCTCATTCGTCTTACTCGGGGTTTTCTCCCGAACAGGGTACTTCGCATTAGACTTCCGCCGATTGTGTAGACTCGCTCATTCAAAATCCCGTTCTTGCTTCCGTTGAATTTTCGCCCACTATTTCCTTTTACTTTCCATGATTGTCATGCACCGCGGTGCACGTCTACATCTGGCGTCAAACCACGTTCTGTCAAGCTGAGATTCCCATCCATCCCGGCGGCAATCTCGTTATCGCCCCAATCGAGCGAACTTAGTTCGTAGCGTCGATACCTATCGTGAGTATACATGGTGCGGTTGAAAAGCCGCTGGGTCTGTCGCTCCGAGAATAATGCTTTTAATCCACTTGATTGATGAAGTGCGAGGTTGATGCGTCTAACCCTAGTGTTATTACATGTCATGAGTACCCAACATCGCTTCTCCACCATCATTGGGGGGTGAGACAACCTCTCAAGCTACTTCAGGCCACTCCCGTGCGATAATACTCTGTCGTTCTTCCTCCGTCTCCGCAAAGATAATGAGCTTCATCAAATCTTGTGCCTCCTTGAAGCTCTCGAACAAGCGATGCTTGATCTTGCTCTTGATGCAGTATTCCATCAAGTCATTTTCTCCATTCGGCTTATACTTGACAAACAGACAGGTCGCTCCCTGCGCGGCGGATAAGTCTGAGACGCCATCGCCGAAGAAGAATATGATCGGGGCGGGATCCATGTTCCTGTAAGGCGCAATCGCCTTCGACTTGTCGTGTCCGAAGCCACTAATTTATCGTCCTCAGTCAAACGCGAAACGGTAATGGGTGATTTTACCTCTCTGGATGACGGTACACAACGTCCCAGCTTCCATCGTCGTATGTTTTCACCTTGTTCGATATTATTTGTATACCGTCAAGGCTAGCGAGATGCTTGTTAAGGACCGCACGGATGATAGGTTCCATACCACTGCGGAGATGTCAATGATCACAGCACCGTGAAACCACCAGTTGTTGCACCTGGACACAATTACGACGGGTATATCATTCGTTTCGCAAAATTCGTAGAAAGCCTTGAAGGTATCATCGACTTTGATGTCTGAAACCGTCCATTAGTTCCAGAAAACCGTCGTGCGTGAACAAAAACTTACTGTTCGCAACAGCATTTCTACAGAATTCGAACGTATGCGTCACCTTGCCATCGACCTTGCCATTCTCATTGATGCTCGCGACCATCTTCCGGAAGGAATCCCTGTATGAAGAACTCAATTCTGCAGCTTTTTACATGCAATGCCTCGCACCGGAAGTTGTCTTCGTTATTACGCACACGTTGATTGAGCGCAACGCGATCTTCGCGCCCCATGCCAAAGTTGTCCGTCACAACTGAGTACTTCAATCAGAGCAAGACACATAGTAAAGTTCTCCAAATAACGAACAATCATTAGAGTCCTGCGTGGTGATAGTGCCATCCCTGCACAACGAAACGCAGTCAGCGCTATTGCCACTTAGATCTAGATCTAGCATTTACGCACCAGTCGCTGAGTACGATGAATTTCTTGCCGTGGTAGACGACTGGTTCATCGAGAGACGATTGCTGCGACATTGTAGTTGTCTATGTTCAAATCTATGTTATGTATTGTCTAGTGAGATGGAAGGAAGGAGTCAAGGAGGTGGGGCTCCGTGAGATATGGAGACGTGAGCGGCGTTTGCAGTTGCACGTTGGTTAATACTTGGAGGTGAGCGCCAAATCTTATCTTATCTCTTACTCAATAATACGGAACTGGTTTTCAACTTGAAGTCCTTGCATCGAGGCAGTTTATCATGGGTGTGTACGTGTCTATATGACATTAATGCATTAAGTACATTATGGCTGATCAATGCTAATAAGTAAAGGTTATCGATACGGGATAGGGATACTGCTGCAAAAAAGCGAATGGAACGAGTAAGGACACAAAGGGAATAAATAACTATGATGCAATGGTGTTCGTTCTTGATCTTCAAGAGCCTATACTATATAATGTATTAGTATAATCATAAAGTTATGCACGCCATAGCGTGGATCTACCAGTCAATCTCAGCAGGGAAGAACTTTGCAATGAGGCCCTCATAGTATGGGCGAAGCTTTTCAGCATCGCAGGGTTCATCACTTTTCGAGTAAAGATCATACGGGTTGAAGGCACGGGCGGCCTCAAGCGCTAGTTGATCCTTGCTACTCATGAGGTGCGCGTAAGCTCCTTCACGGTGCCATCTGCATGGATGGTAAAAATTCAGCGGATGGTGCAGAAACTGGCAGGAACTTACGGGTAAAAGCTGTGATACCTGATCATAGCAAGGGCCTCTTCGGGGAGCGAGCTCTGATCCTTAACGACGTGGTAGAGATACTGTGAAAATGTTGAAAAACATGAAGACAAAATAATGTCGACAAAGTTATACCTCATCATGTCCCCAAGACACCATGACATTATCAAGGCCGCAATTGGGTTCATAAATTCCATACTCCGTGGAATAAACCGCATCATGGAAGTCTGGATTACCGGCGAAGGTATCGGGGTAAATGTTTTTCTCGGAGAAAGCGCAGCCGACGACAAAGGTATCCTTGAATAAAGAAGTACATCAGTCTGTACGTCACCATGCGTGCCCGATGAAGAAACTTACACCAACAACGTCCCACTGGCCTTCGCTGCCAAATAGATGCAGCAGCTTACCAAGGTCGTGGATCAAACCGGTAACTTGCATCCATTCGGGCTTACCGTCGCGTCGGATGGCCTCAGCAGTCTGGAGCAAATGCTCGATTTGCGAAAGCTCAGTCTAAATACGTGCTGCATGTCAGCAATGGGAAATCACAAGCCAGTGAATCACTGACGTCTGGATCCGAGTCGTCCACAAGAGTATTGAGCATTTCCATAGCTTGCCAGATACCCATGCGAGCGCGTTTCCGGCTCTTAAATTCCATACGGGCCTTGATGTTGAAAGCTACGGTCTGCTTTTCTGCGTGGCAGCCGGGAACCTGATCAGTGCCACGCCGTGCATGGGTAAATCGGATGTACCAACCATGTTGCTCCTTGTAAAAATTCTTGACGCGATCGCAAGCATTCTCATACTGACGGAATGTCGTCTTGTCTTTGATGGAATCAAACTCAGACTGAGTGTCCCAGATTTTGGCCTTCAGAACATTTACTGTAGAGAAAGGCGGATTCGGACTGTAAGCCACATCCCGAAGCGCTGGAACGGCGTAATAGATACGTACCGTCATCGACAGCATCGGAAACAGCGTCGAGTTCGTGGCCGTCGTGTTTGTTGATAACAACCGCAGGCATGTCTAATAGTGATATTTGAGAAATGAGGAGTTTGGGAGATGGGCAGGAGGTTGATTGGACATCGAGACAGGGAAGGCTGCCTTATATACGGGTGCGATTATCGCGAGCACCAACAGACCTGAGCCTTGCGCCGATTCACCGCGCTGGGCCTGCAAAATTGGTGACGATAATTTCATCAAAGATTGTCAACTTCCCTATTAGCATGTGGGTCCTTTGTGAAATTGACGCCGCGGAGCCTTTCGGGCCCTGAAGAAGCCCATGCCGCCCACGTAGCTCTCGCGTGGCTCCTCGTGGATCGCGGGAGACGGAGGAGTAATCTGTCTGTTTGAGTCTGCTTGTCGTGGGCCACAGACCGCCTGCAGCTTGAGATACAATGCCAATCGGAGGCCAGGTCATCATGCTCAACGTTGACCAGCGTTCCCGGTGATGAATCATCCGAGTCAGAGTCGCCCGTTCTGACTTGCCGTCAATGTTTGCACAGGACTTGCCTTAGTCTAGACTTCTTGTTCGCTTCCGTAATTCAATGGCAACCTAATCTCACTTCCGGTTGCCGACAATCCGAGTAATCGCAAGAATGCAAAGCCCTGGTCCGCTGACGGATGACTTTTTTCTTCTCTTGGTGCAGCCCTTGCTCAGGCTCACATAATCCTTGAGTCCATCGGATGTAACAACTTGGGTCCTGAAGGATATCTCCGGGATATAGGGTGAATTTCGGCTAGACGTACGTACATACCAGCATTGCGCTATGGCACCCGACGGGCCACAGCTCCTGGACAGTCCCTAGACCAGTACTCTTTGTTATTTTCCCAGCTTTCGAGACTTATGGTACTAGCCTACCAGACGATAGTCATCGCCAAGATTCTGTCTTGTTCGCCAGACGAATATGCCAGCTGACGACTTGAAATTGACTTTCGGTTGCGCCAACTGTGACGTCAGGCCAATTGCTGTCAAGAAATTCAAATGTCTTTCTTTCACCGGATGGGATCAGATAATCCTAGTATGGATGATGAGACAATTCTGCGAGCTGAACACCTTGTGAGAAACCCTCATTAAGATCACAGTGGTTGTTCTCTTTGTGCTGGCACATGCTCGAACATAATTTATGTGTGACTCATCGTTCTCACAAGTAATGTGCTGTCAACTCTCCCCCGCGGACGACTGGCCATACTAGTTGTCTCGTCCGCCGGATTGCACTCTCATGAGCGCTGGCGGATGTGGAGGCACTTCCTGACTCTTGAGTCGTGTCATCTCACTGTCGCGGCATACTGTGACTCGTTCCCATTTAACAGTGCGTCGATTCCGTAATAGATTCTCCTATGAGTACATGCAGCTTTACTGGTGCAGACAGCTCTACCTCGAATGCTACAATCGTGCCCTCCAATTCACTTCCTGTCAATCTCATGATTTAGTGAATGACTGAGCCTGTCGCTCACTTGGTTGGAACAGGCCAGTTGTCGAAACCGAGGTCAATACCTGGGTAGCATATTTCAGTACCAATCGCGTTCACTGTGATTACCAACGCTCACCCCAGGGAGGCATGATGTGAACCGTTTCTGCTTGCCACTCGCAGCTACACCGTCAAGGACCTGAATGTCCTCTCTGGGGTCAGAGCGTTGTATGCCTCTAGCGCACCAGTCAAGTTAGACTCGATAACGGGATGGTGTCACTGATTTGGGAAGGACAACAATACCCTTTGCCACTGCATTCAGATCCGCCAACTATCATTCTCTTGCCAGGGTAAATGATAAATATGAACGTACGCAGGTAGCCGAGAAGGACATCGGAGGTGCTCTTGAGACCGCGCTTCTTCGCAATCTCGGTCGCGGACTCATCGGCAAACAATGGAGAGTTGGTCGAACCAAGGGGTGAGTATGCTTGTGGAACGATTTTCTTCGACTTCAAGTACTCGAGAAGCTCCAGCTGCGGATTGTACAGGTGAAGTTCGAGCTATACATGTCAACGGTGAGTTTCGAACGGCATCTTTACGTCGAACACACCTGATTAACGGCCGGGATGACCTCAGCAATGGGTAAAATCTTCTCAAGCATCATCTGGGAGAAGTTTGACGCGCCGATTGCCTTGACTTTACCCTTCTTTACCATGGCCTCCATACCCTGCCAAGTGTCCCTGAGGTCTCGGGATTCATCAATGTCGCGGTTGCCGTTTGGGCGCATCGGCATGACAGGGTGATTCCCGTCTGGGTTCATCGCAATAGGCCAGTGAACAAGGTAAACTGATGGTATCTTAGTGTCAGTCAAACGAATCCCACAGAGAAATGCTGCAGGTCCTACGGTCAAGATATGTCGTTCCAGGTTGGCAAGCGTTTGGTCGAGGCATTGCTCGACACGTCTATGGTATGTACCCCAAAGCTTGCTAGTGATCTATCATATCCGAGTGAACAGGGTAAGTCATAGGTGGGATACAGTATACGCACAAAACACTTCTTCCCGCGGAACGCCCGATGCACGCAGACCCTCGCCGACTTCCTTTTCGTTCCCATACGCCCTTCAGTAAGATACGCTTAGATCAGGATCATTTCATGATCAAATTTCTTCAAGCACAGTCAATGTGTCTAT